TCAAGGTGACAATGTGCTTGCCTCTTTGTGAACACAGACGTATCAAGTGTCTGAGCAATCTATGATGCAAATTGTGGGATTCGTATGTCTCCAAGTTGCAGACATTTTGCAGAATGTGTCTGCCCATATGAAGCTGAATGTTCTTTGGGGTCTGCCAGGAATCAAAGGAAAAGTTCTAACTTGATGGCTTGATAATTGCACATCTATGAACGTTAACTTGCATTAGCTGGAAGTCAAGACTGAAAATAGGATGTTACAAATTGTTAGGGAGGTAGAGGGAGTGAAGGGGATGGTTTCTGTTGATGCCACCGTGGGAATTTAGAGATAAATGATGGTGCCAGCACACCTGCGGATTCTGTGAAGGAGTGAGGAGGGAGCTGTAGATGTAAATCATTGATGGCTCTCACTGATGTCCCACGCTGGCGTCCTACAAATGAGCCAAGCACGTTCTTAAGACAAATCACATTTTGTATGGGAGCTGTGGCTAGAACCAAATGGCAGCATGTGTCCTTTAGCTGCCCTCACCTCGACAGTAACAGACCATGGCGTTTACTTCTTTGTTTCTTTTTTTCATTTGTACATGCCGGATTTATCATTCCTTTGAAATAAAACTTTCCATTATTCAGTGCTTCTTCTTCTAAATCTGCCAGCTCATACAGTATTACAGAGAACAATTACGTAATGATGTATTTTCTAACCTTTCCTTAGGCAAAGTTTTCACTTACTTTTCTCTTGGTTTAAATGTTATCCATAAGAGAGTAAAATGTGTAGCCAGCATAGAAGATAAATGGCTAGACTTGTTCTGTCCACAAGAGAGGAAATAATGCTCAGATACGTCACAGATCATGCATAAATGAAGGCGGTCACACAGTAAGATCCAGGGACCTGATTCACAGCTGCATGTTGCCAGATATGCTTAGCAGTATATGATTAAATTATAGCAGGAAAATATAGTTTGTAATGATGGCTTTAGTTCTTTATTATGACTTCTTAATTAAAAGCTATTGCCCAGGGTTCAGAAAAAAAAGTAATCGCATTCCACCGAAATGCACAAGTGGTCGAAACCTCTTATAAGGATGCTAAACATTTTAAAAGAGAATATGATACCAGCGTTAGACAGATGGACCACTGACCGCTGAAACCACCCACTTCCTGGATTTTTTTGTACAAGTAGCATCAAATAAGGCGTGAAACAATAATCACCGTTTCGTATTCCATGAAAGGAGTCTAGTTAAGTTTATGTTGGTCACGTTCTTAACCATAAACCAATAAATCTGTCTTCAGTTCTAGGAGTTTACTGAAAGTTTTCAGGTTAATTTTCTCAAACTTGTGCTCAGTGACGAGGCAGAAAAGGCCATCTATAAATATTGAATGTCTTCTTTTGCAGAATCAACTGATGTTTTTATGTTTTTAAGACTAAGGAGAAATATTATGGGGCATCGTCTCTATGACGTACCGCAAACACTTATATGATCCTGCATGGGTTATTATATATTAAGGAGGATTTAGAATAAATAGAAGAAGCATAAAAAGTAGCCAGAGGCCTTAGTAATTTAGACAAATAGCTAATCTCGGTTACATTTGAATTATAACCTCTCATCATAATACAGGTATCAATGATATTAACATGAATATTTAATTAAACACTGCCTCCATAGTCAAACGACATCCAAGTAAGTCCCAAATAAACCAGCCGAAAATCCCAGGCTGCACTGCTTGGCATTTATTCTTGGTGTGGCTTATTTGTTTGTCTTCAGGACAATATTACAGTAGCATCCAATAAACTCAGTTCATCACACCTCCCACACCAGGAGACAGGCTTTCTCCTGTGTCTGCTCTGACTTTGCCATTTTCCTGCACTGGCTGTCTGATCGGTTGGTCGATACCAAAATAAGATGGCAAAAATGTACTATTATAACAAGATATTACGTTTTTTTCTTTTGTCAAAGAAGGGTAAGAGTGGGCATGCTAAACTGTACAATGCATCATCCTTACAATCTGTTTCTGCTGATCATCCTTCATTTGGCATATTTTGGACTTTCCTGTTTTTATCCGGAATCATCCGCTGAAAGTGTGAGTGTAATGGAGACAAAAATCTAAGCATATGCAATTTCATCACTTAAGAAAAAAGGTTTGTGCTGATTTGTGTGTGTAATTGAGCATCAGTACTCTCCTAAGTGTTTTCCTCACAACTTCAGTGGCACCAGTTACTTAAGGAAAGGAAAGATAGATGTCCTAAATGCAGAGAAAATAGCAGTGGAATGAAGATGCGACAGCTCCAGCAGTAGATTAGATGGATAAGGTTCATTTGTAACGTGGGTGCTCTTTCCCAAGCATTCATCATGCATTTATTTGCTGTCTAGTCAGGAGGCTACTGGACAATAAGGGAGAGCTGTGAATCACTAGTGACAGTTTCTTTAGATAAAGAGGACTGGGGATCAAAGCAGGCACTGAGAAAGTTTGGATGTTGGTGCCTAAATAGTGCCTAAATGTGGGATGGCAAGGGGGCATGTGTGTCTACGTATCTGCAGGGTAATTCTCAAAGTAGTATTTTAACTCGATGTCATAGATGCAACTAACTATGATTCACAGCAAAAGACACAATAGGTTTCACTGTTAACGGCCCACAGACTCGCTTCTTTTACATAGAGCCTACAAGGAGGTCTTGGTGGTGTGTTGCAGGTTCATCTTGAAGTCAGTCTAACTGAAACTAATAAGGATTCCTCGAGACGAGGCTGTTTGTGTGGGTGGACAGCCACCAGTGGGGTCTTGATCTTGGATCCTATTCAGCTGACTTTATTTTGCTTGTCACTCAGGAACCATGAAATACCACAAAGTTTTTAACTGAAAAAAAAGTTATCTTGGGGATTCCTGATTGCTACGCTTTGTAAAAGTCTCATAACGCTTCTCGTGTCTGTGATTCATCAGGTTTTTTCTGCTTGGAATGATTTTTTGCCATATTACAAAGCCCAAAATCTGCCACCAAAGAGAGTAATTATGTATCACATCATGTAAACAACTGAGATGACTTGTTAGGATACAGAGCAAATAACATTGAAACCTTTGTTTGGAGAAAGTGCTTTTAAGATCAGTTTATGCTGAGGATTTAATAGAATATCAAACTGTGAGAAAATGCATGTGTTGAAACTTTTTTAGACAGTTCCAGAAATGCAATCATCAATGTCTATGGTACATTGAAATGAGCCCACTCAAACATCTTTCTATAATTTCATATGGGATGATTTGGGCTTTGGTTGTAAAACAGCCTCCTGTTTTTACAGTGAGCAAAAAGACACGATCGGATTAAATATGTTAACAATTTTGTAAATCAGAGCAAGGATCAGTCAGAAACACATCCTCAATTTTATGGCAGCATATGATAAATGGGCTATAGTAGCAACAGAGCCATCTCTCCTTCGTTAGGATGGTGACTTCTTCCTGATAAACCATGATGGAAGTCCAAAGAGATTAAATACTGGGGCTCTCAAGCTGAATTCAAATGATCTCACAGCTGTAGAGATCAAGCCAGAGGAAAACTGCAAATGAGTCAACAGGAAGTGTAAGAATACATGTTCAAAGTAAAATCACAGAGCAGAGATGAAGGGAGAGACTTGGAGATTTTTCATTTTTTCTAACAGGGAAAATAACTGTACACAAACAAGCTGTAAACAATGATATTCATTAGACAAATGGAGTATGGGTAATATCTGAACGTGGATCAGTAAGGGTGAATTATCCTTAGTGTTATAATTTACAACAAATTATTGTTTTCTCTGGGCTGCCTAATTTGTTGAAATTTTAATTTGTGCAATTCTCAACTGAAGAGCTCATATTCACTTAACAATCGTGAACTAAATTTTGTATTCAGCGTTCAAGCAAAAGAGTAAAGTCAAAGCAGAATAACTTCTGATTTGATGAGGCAGGTGGTGGTGACTATCCATATAACTGTCACTGTCACCAGAAACTCCATTATCTAAGGCGTTAAATGAAAAATTCCCTTTTTTATCCATCTCAGTTGTCATAAAATGTAATCTCCCAACCCTGATTGATCGGGGATAGTCTTACCAGCGGCACGGTGGTGTGGTGGTTAGCACTGTCGCCTCCCAGCAAGAGGGTTCTGGGTTCGAATCCCGGGGGAACCAGGACCTTTCTGGGTGGAGTTTGCATGTTCTCCCTGTGTCTGCGTGGGTTCTCTCCGGGTTCTCCGGCTTCCTCCCACAGTCCAAAAACCTGCATGTTAGGCTGATTGGAGATTGGGGAAATTGCCCTTAGGAGTGAATGTGAGTGTGAGTGGTTGTTTGTCCTTGTATGTCCTATGTGTGGCCCTGCGATGGACTGGCGGACTGTCCAGGGTGTACCCTGCCTCTCGCCCGTTGACCACTGGGATAGGCTCCAGTTCCCCCCGCGACCCCATGAGGGAATAAGCGGCATTGATAATGGATGGATGGATGGATAGTCTTACCATAGGTAATCTGGTTTGAGCGCAATTTAATTCCTGGCTTCTTTCGATTATTTTCTTTTCTCAGAGAAAAGATTTTATTTCGGTGTTTTCTTTCCGGAAGCTGAATAGGTTATCACACCTGACTTGATGCTCCAACGCGCGCGACCCAGCCGCGCGCAGCTGGCAGCCTCTGCTCTCATTTGCAAGAGACTGAGAGGCTGGAGCAGGAGCTGGATCAGGGTTTGGATCAGGGTCTGGATCAGGCGCACGTCGGGGATCCCAGCCGCGATGGACTTGACATAACACCAGACCCTCTTCTCTCACAGGGACCCCTCAGGTGCTTGGTAGAAGTTTTTTCTGCGTGGATTAAAGTGCGCGGATGGTCTCAGGCGTTCGCTCCGGCGCAGGTTTACATGTGTTTTATGTGTTTGCGCTCAACAGTCAGGTAGACTTCGCGCAGGTTTTTTTTACGCGTGTGATTTTTTATTTTTTTTTACCCCCGTGGATGTGGCGGTCGGAGTCGATGTCTGAGCCCCGCGGGATCAGCATGTCATAGGGCATGATGATTTCTCTGTTTTGTCACAACTGGAGGAGGAGGAGGATCTCCCTTGAGATGCTGCTGCTGGTGCCGGTACTGTTTTTATTCCCAATGGCCGAAGGAGCGCCCTCCCTGACCACAGAGCAGCTGGACATGGGGGTGGTAAGTTTTTAAAATATATATATATATATTTATAGACATTAATATGTGTGTATATTATACAGTTTTCTACCTGCTCAGAGAAAATGGGGCTCTGAAGTTTTCCTGCCTGATCGCAGTTTTCTTAAGCAGCCCCTTTAACGCTCAGAAGCCTTCATCTATTCTCTTGTCTTCTTGGGGCTTCTCTTGGACGTCCAAGTGAAGAGCAAGTGAGTGCCCCCCTCTACAAACTTGCTCTGAATGTTAACAACGCTCTGCAGTCCAGTTCACCTGGTGTAGAGCCTACAAACATCAATATTAAACACGTGTAGTGGACCTTATTCTCAAGTGGGAAACCATCTTACTGAGGGAAGAAAAAAACCTTGTTTGTAATAAATAAATTTATGTGGGGGGGATTTGATCTGTCCCTCCTAGTAATTCTTTCACTCAACTACAGATGGACTCAGTTCACAAGGATGCCTCATTAGTGATTTTTCTTTCTTTCTTTTGCCTCTAAAAGGAGTTAAAACTGAGGAATTCTGTTGTCTGTGACAGAACTGAATTAATTTACAAGACAGCCCTCACCATCACCAGAAGGTACAAAACAAATCATTCGAGCTGTGCCGTCTTTTGGGGAGAAATTACCTCCCTCGTGCTTTTTAAAACCCGATTGCTCCAAAAATCAATGTTAGACAGGATGCGTTGTATTTGGGACGTGTGTGTGGTGCTTGTTGTGCCGTTTCAAATCCTGGCTATGTGCTTGCTTTACATGGCAGACCATCGCAGACAAGCAGCTTTAAAGATTTTTTCTCACATCAGTGTGTGTTTGGGTAGATGTTGCGATTTTTCTCACCCCAAAAAAGTTTGTTTTTCTGACTGTTGATATGTTTTTCTTCAATTCTTTACTCCGTTCCTTAGGGCAACATAGTTTTTCTTTTTTCTTTTTTTTTTGCGGCTGCTAATCCCAGTTAAGTCACCGTGCCACTCCTTAAACTTTTACTTTTTTGAAAAACCAACATTAAGGATTCTGTTTATCTGTTTAAGAACTGAAGCTGAACTCGGCCTGTTTTCTTAAACGGTTTATTTTGCCTCTAGTTTCTTGGACTTCGCTTGTTTTGATGCTTTGATTTGCTGAGTTACAGCTGTCTGCAGGACAGAAAGATAAACTGAGCTCAGCCCATTACAAATGACTTGAAGCATCCATCAGGAAAAGACGTTTTGCAGCGCGTAATGCACATGTAGTGCACACAGAGTGCACAGAGTAAGGGCTTATGATGCTCAAATATTCTCAATGTCCAAAACTGACTTGAAGATCTGTTGCACTTTAGCTTTTTCAGCCGTAGCCTTGAAGCAACCCATCGCAAACAGCTCTCCCACTCTTGGACTTAACCTTTTATGGCTTGTTTTGCTCTCTGTTTGCAACATAAAACCATGCAGAGACCCCCTTGAGCATCTAAGTAAAGAGAAAAAAGAGTTAATGCAAAATAAATACTGATGCTAATGAATGTCTTTTGTGTCATTTGGTGATTTGTTAGGTGTCTATGGTCACATAGCTTTAATCTCTTTTGACGGTTAGATAATAGACGAAAGCTAATGAAACATATTAACAAGAGTAGAAAGGCAGTGGTGCAAAGTTGATGATGGCTAATGAGCAGATTAGTGACAGTGGCTGTCCCTAAATGCACGGCGCTATTCTGATGTTAAACTGATTAAATCCTCTTTTGTAAGCAACGTTTTCTGATCACCTGAACCAGGATAACGTCGTACTATCTCTGATTTACAGTAATTTTGGGTTTGTTTAGAATAGACCAAGTCCAGCACCAGGTCTGTGTTGAACTGCATGGTTTCTTTTTGATAGATAAAACAGAAATAATTGAAAAATACTAAGAATGGATCTCAGAATAGCATTTGAGACGGCAAAATTCCCCAAAGCCTGTGAACGTGTGCTGTGTACCCGGTACAAAACTGCACGAACACTTTTTGTTCTAGTTAGACGTTTTCCACACTTAAACTGGATTGCTCGGTTTCCAATTTGACAGGGAAACGTTCAAGGGAAGTTGCTGACATCACCCTGTGCAGTTTGTCCTTTGATATCCAGAACAATGTTTTTTGCGGTGAGATTGGACAAGAAGGTTCCGAGCATATTCTTCAACGGGGGACGGGTGTCAGAATCCTGAAGGCAAGGATGCAATGAGCAGGAGAGGAATTTGGAAATAATCCTTCACAGCAGGCAGCTGTCTTTGTGAGAAATGTTCACAATGCCTAAAATATTCCTACAGCGCGCAGGATGGCATGTTGATGGTGGCTACTGACTTATCTGAATGACAATTCTTCTTAAGGTGAAACCCGCTCTCCTGACGCTTCAATATATTTGAAGTATTGACGGCAGAGTGGGAAGCAATGTACAAACACACATAAAGGTTTGAAGCATCATATGTCATCAATACACACTCAGCTGCTCTGAATCAGCCAGACAATCTCCTGCTCTGATAGCACATTTTGATGTTTTGCAGACTTCCCCCTGAGGAGATTTTTGGGTGAAATCCGTGCAGAGTAGGATCTATTTGATGCAGGGATTTTTGGATCCCCCAAACTGAGCATCTCCTGCTAACATCTTGAAAATGTCCTAACTGCAATTCATCTTTAAAAACGGCTAAACACTGATACCGGACAGTATTATCCTCCCGTGTTTTATTTAGTTCATCTCAGAAAATCCGAACAAAGGCGGTTTTATGCAGTAAAGTTTGCACGAATGTCTCTGGAGAAACGGTTATGAAAAAGGCACGAGAAGCTCAGCAGTGTCACCAGATGAGAAGCTGTTTCCAAGGAGGAAGTGATGATATTCAAAGTAGAAGCGTTCCTGCTCCTTTAGAGTGAGCTGTGCGATCCACAGAGCCTCTCAGCAGCCTGAAGTCTGAGGGGCTTTATCCTGTGAAATGTGGAGCCCTGGCTTCAAATAGCTGTAAATGGAATAGTGTTGTGAATGTAACCCTACGTGTCACGACCTGATGTAAATAGTTACCCAGGGAGAGTACAGGCAGTTCACTCATTCGAAATAACCTTTTTCTTGATGTGAAACTGTGTTTTTCCCCGGCTTCCCTGTTGAATAAACCCTTTCAGACTATATGCAGACTGCTGTTCAGGCAGGTGGAGGCTGCACATTAGCCCACTCCATGTTTTAAGAAACAATGCATCTGCCAAAATCTGTTTTTTTTTCCATCCTACATTCCAAAGTAACTCTAGGAAAAAAAAAAACTTTTAAACTTCTTGGAAACTAAGTTTCACAGAGGTTTGCAGATGGTTGACAGCTACAACTGAAACATCTTGATTTTCACTTCAGGCCCATTGATTTTCACTTCAGGCCCATGGAAAGATGATCTGGAATGATCTGCGTGGCAGCCATCATAAGAGCCAGTTGTGATCCTTCAATCAGAATCAAATGAGCTTGACTGCTTCCTTAGGGATCTTCATTTGGAAATGAAAAGCACTGCACCATGCATTTATTTCAACTGGGAGAGGGTTCTTTTTTCTCATATTTTTTTGGAGCTTCAATGTTTATTTTGCTCGGGTCATATTAGCTGAGAGTCATATCCTCGACAACAGGAAAGTGAGAACGAGCAGCTTTTAACCATAGGTCGTCTTCGTTGTAACTCCTTGTGAATCTTCCTACTTTCTTTTTAAAAAAAAATTTCTAAGGTCAAGCGTGAACATTATAGTGTAACATAGGAGGTACATTTTGGGACTCTTCCAGAACAGTCTTACAGAACAGTCCCACCAACCTGATTAGAGGAGTTGGTGGATGGAACATTTCTAGAATACAAATACAAAATTACATTCATTATAGTCAGCCTCTATGATGGGGTTTTCAGTGTTTATGTCTTCTACTCTGTACAGCCTCATATCTTGAAGGGAAGTAGAAACGCATCACCCCTTTTATCCCATAGAAAGACTGTGAGGGAAGCCCGCTACTTGGTGAATCAGCATTTAAATGTCACACCTTGTCTTCAACAGTATTTTTACTGATAGGTAATTTGGTTTAAAAAACACACACACAAAAAAATAACTATTTCACTGCAGTCTGAATGCGATTGCGATGGAATCCGTTGGTAAGAAGAGAACTGTGTGGACGAAGCCACTGACAAAGATTTACAACTAATAGAAAAAAACACGTATTCCCTAGCAGTGTGTATGTAGTGTGAAATGTATTTCTCTCTGGACCAAACTCTTTGAAAAAAGTGGAAACAGCTTAAAACTATCCTTCTGTACTCTTATGATCCACCTTAAAGCAAAATGTGGGAAACTCCTGTGCCCAGAAACCACAAAGACTTAAAAGTGTCTTTCAACTTTATTGTTCAGAATCCAGCTGGACTGTTTCTTCTTTTTGCCCAAGAGGAAAACTTTTTTTTTTTCCTGCAAGTCCAGTGGAGGTTATATTGTTTTTTTTTGAGGAGGGAAGTGCTAACACAATAGAATCGAAACTTTTTCCTTTGCTCTCTTGTAAAGTGGCCGGGATGGTTCCCATGTATCCGCTCCAAATAATAGCTACTGTCTCCAGGTCCTTGGCCAGCGACTTCATCATTCTGAAGAGAAGGATGCAACTAAAAATAACAACAATAAGATGAATGATTATGAATTTGCAGAGCGACTCTTATCACACCTTTAATTTTTAATTCAGAAAAAAAAAATCCTGAATACAGGAAATGATGTACGAAGCTGAACTCCCTGTAGCACTTTGTGGAAGAATTATGCATCTGATATCATGTTCTTATGGCTGCTGTCAGCCACCTGATGATTTGTCTCTGTCATTAATTGTGAAAAGAAACCAAGTTCTGCTTTTGATCGCATACAGCCGAGTCAGCCTAAACAATCTAATCTAACTACTGCTGCTCGCTCATCACCAAAAGCCGGGAGCATATTGCAGAAGACAGCCCGGAGGATTATTAGTTGGCTACTGACTGATTTCTTGTTACTCGGGGAGCCAGAGGACACACAATGAATATCAGTCTACGCCAGTGAAAAAGTCA